CATCTTGGACAAACTTTCTAAAATAGTGTGGACCATTAAAGACAGTTATTTTGACCACCCACCATTACATTAACATGCAGTAGCGATGAACAGAAAGTGGAACTGTGATGCAGGGTCTTTCCCTGTGAAATGGATTGAGCATATGCAATTATGTAAGTCAACTGCAGGGCGTCCTAATGGCTTCAGATTTGTTTCTGGTCCCGGTGTGTTGTCACAGTCTGCACTGTGGCCCCCAGCAGAGTGCATATGATTAGTAGCATGTCTTGGAGTAGCCCAGAAATGTGATCTACGCTAAGGGGGAAGGACAGTTCATCCACATGTTGTCCGCCCTCCCCACCGATCACTTTACACATCCCGGGCAGGTTAATCCTTTTATTGTAATGAAGTGAGGAAGCGTAATGTACTGTGAATGTGATATGCTTAATCCACTGTTGGCATTTTTATGAGAAAGGAGTAGCCATGGTGACATGGAGAACAGAGTGCTTGAGAGGTCCAGGAACCATCCATCAAAATATGTCGCTGACACAACACAACAACACAGGATTTGCATGAGTCATCAACTCGAGACAATATCCTATACTTTTGCTTTCCCATCGACATGTTACTGTGTGACTTTGGACCAGAGTCCAGGAATTGGTTGCAACTGTGTATAGATTTGAAATAAAATCGGAATATGAGTATTAGTGGAACCCTTGTCGCGACTGCAAACTGTAAAGAGTAAAGAGCATGTATGCAGGCTCCACTCATCAAAAAGTCAAAACAAGCAGATTGTGGCTTGATAGGCCTCAAGTAGGCCTTTAAGTAAGACAGAATAAGGTTTAACTAAATGACCAACTGAAGTTGTAAACTCAGATATGTCTTTCTCACTCTTATTTGCACGAAGGGAAAACATTAATTTCCCCTGCAATGCATGTCATTGAACAATGTCATACATGTGTTTGTATAGGATTGTGAGGTAAGTTGAATATTTATACTGGTCTAATAAAGCTATCATAGTATAGCTTATAAGGATACAGTAGTTTAAGATGTTTTAAGTAACTGATCACTAGCAAAACATAACTACTTTTAATCTTGCAATCCGAATAAGAAAAATAGGTTAAAAATTATTTAGAACTTAGGAAGGACTACACATAAACAATGACATGTATTTACAAATACATTGAACAATCAAGACCTTGTATCACAGAGATATTTATGTATCTAGCTTCTCAACAGAACAAGTGGATATGTGGCATGAGACCGCAATGAACTAGAGCTAATGTTTCATCAAATAGAGTGTTGCCCGTATCCTCTCTTTTTGTTTGTTACCCCCACTTTTCTGCATGGGCTCTTATAGAAATATATAAGGCACACATTAATGCCAAACTACACAGTTCTCTTGACTTTCTTGTGGATTGGTGAATGCTACTGTAGCAGTATAAATACATTATTGTTTTTATGGTACATACATATTCAGTTTTACAGGCAAAAAAGCTGAAATAGAAACATGTAAATGTCAAATAAAGGATGGCATTGGATCATTTCCAATCCATCTAAATATATGCAGTAACTGTATATTTAACACTATAATTGTTACTTTCCTCCATATTGTTCATGAAGCACTTAAATTCCAAGTGCACTCACTGCTGAAGTCTTATATGAGGTTTGGCTAATATAAGTCTAATAGAAAATGTTATTCACTCACAAATATGTTCAGTACGACATCATTCAAATACAAATTCAGTAGCCAACGTCTCTGGTACCTAATGGCTCCTTAATTAGCTGCACATATTAAATATCATGCAATTGAATTGAAGAACTCTGCTAAAAAATCCACTCGAAAGAAGTTTGTTATGTTCAGCTTTTGTTTACATTGTTGGAAATGGGTAAAGTTAATTAGATTAATTTGTATTGAGATCGTAGACAACACGTGGACTACATGAGATTGAGAAGGATTTTTTGTTCTTTAGAAATGGTAATATTAGCAAAAACATGTATGGAATGTGCAGCATAACACCACCTCTAACCATTAGAAGAATCGGAGGACGAAATCCACTTTAATTGTCACACATACATGCACACAGAAAGCGCACACAGTGAAATATGACCTGCATTTAACACATCCTAGTTCTAGGTGGGGGGGTGGTGTCCGGTGCCTTGCTCAAGGGAACCATGGCAGGGCCCAGGAGGTGAACTGGGACCTCTCCAAGTCCAGACTCCATACAGTATTTAGGTCTGTTCGGGGACTTGAACCTACAGCTCACAGTCCAAGCCCCTACTGACTGAGCCACTACCAGACCTTATGGGCATCATAAAAGTGGAGATGGCAGAATAATTGGATTTGATTGATCACATCTGTATTTTATAGTGGCCACTGAAATAACACTTTAGTGTACTTGTATAGTGTATTTGCTTTTGCCTATCCCTTTGCTTCCCACTCTGGATTACCCCTGTTTCAAAGTGTTGGAAGTGTAAATGTGAAGTGTTCCTCTGAAGTACAAAAGCAGAGGATGAAAAAAAAATAGATTAAGCGATCACAAGTAGAGGTCCCAGTCAGAGGTAAAATCAAGTTCATTGTTATCCTCAGAGGCTTCCAACAATATCTTTCCCTGCTTCTTTTTACACATTTCACTTGCGTTTTGTCCGGGGTTCACAACACTGCATTTAATTAGTGCATCAGGAAACTTCTCTAATCTGCAAGACAAATGGTAAAAGTTACGCTATTGTTTATCCAAAGCAACAATGTTATCTAAAGCTGTCTGATCTCTGTTGAGTTTAAGTGCTTGAGTCTTGTAGAACTCTCACAAGGAGAAACCACAGGTTTTGAATGACATCCCTTTGGTTTAGTGAGCATTTGAAAAATCAATTTGTGGACACTGACCGTTCTGCTGACGATTCCTGTCTTTTGTGGGAGTTGGTCACTGAGCCAGCCGCACTGCTTCTTGTCACTGCCTGATTAATTGGCTTCAATACATCCAGCAGTCATTGACTCAGATGAAGAGAGACTATAAGGGCCTTTCATTCCTCTCAAACTGAATTCGTAGTGGAAGCCACTGAAACAGGCTTTGTAAAACAGGCTCATTTCCTTTGATGGAAGCAGGCTCAATCATGAGTTTAGAGCAATAGTCATTGATTGGACTGGGATGCACGCTTCACATAAGTGTTTGTGGTTTTTAGAGAGGAGGGCTCAAATAAGTCTTCCTTTATCTCCTATGCACCACCCATTCATTAATCAAATGGAACAGGGTGATGAGATGAATTATAAGTCCAGCTCCTGTCCACTTGATTCTGGGTTGAAGAGGCCATCTCAATGCCGTGTATCCCACATTCCCTAAACCAGAGACCCCTGGCGACCACTTGTCACAGCCATCTCCCGACTGGTAATTGGGCATTTATCAGATTGCCTGCAAGAAAGCGATGTAGTGTTTATCAGGCACAATTATCTAGAAAAATGGGGGAAATATTTCCCGCCACCTCCTAGTAAACTGCCGAGATACTGATTCAGGTGTCCATGCAGAGTGGAAGCGCTTTAATCTTTCAGTCTAACCACAGGCAATTGTTTATCGGACATTTAGCTGGAAGCTTGTCATCATCTCATGCAAATGGAGCAAATTGAGCAAATGCATACCATAATTCTTCGACTCTGCTGTGACACCGGAGGAATGAGAAGTGATGATAACACACACTCCAACAATTGGTGCTGATCTGATATACAGGCTTTTCGGAGGCTGCTTTAATTCTGAGAACGCATATTAAGGCGGGCAAAAGTGTTCACGGACTACCTGAAGATAAGATTGGAGAAAAGGCTATTAAAGCAAATTGGTCTGCTTGTGCTTTTGTTCTCGTTCTAATGTAAGAGAGAGACAGAGCGGACAGGATGGCATGACTAGAAGTAGCTGCCATTCATTGCTGGCAAAGAGTCCATTTAGAGTTGAATGAAATATTTTTCAGAAATATAGACAGAGCACATGGATGGAAGGAGAACATAACATAGTATTAGGAACATTGGATGTAGACTGAAAAAGCCCTTCCTAAAAATTGGTAGCTTTGATTAGAGAGCATTTTCTTTTCTACCACATACAGTACACTCGTTTTTTTCACTGTGTCAAGGCCATGTTTCATGCTCCTCATCATCTCAAAAGATTTAATGCTTGAATAGACTAAGTCACGACTGTAGCTCCTTAGAATTTACGATAAAGCAAGTCCATCATATTTTAGTTGAAGCCATCCAATTCAAGGAGTATGTCATGCCTGGGAAAAAAGGCTGCGAGGAGAAAATCATAGTGCATAGCAGCAGTACACAGAGGGAAGTGTGAAAGAGAGAGAGATAGGGAGAAAGAGCTGGAGATGGAGAGGCTGCCTGGCCTGCTGGTTGTAATCAAACAAGGGTGAACAGGTTGTTCCACAGATGGCTGATCCGGAGAATCCTCCGATTTATTTTCATGCTACAGACGGTCCCCGTCACTATGCGCAGGCAATGTCAGCACATCGGTATTGTCTCGCACACACCACTAAACTCTGACACTTTTGTCTCACCTGTCTGAAATCAATATGACACAGAGGCATTTGTTGTGCGTGCACAAAAGGAGATACTGAGTAAGAGTTTAGCAACAGAGAAAGTCGATTTGCAATCTTCTTAACATGCAAAGACTAAACTCTCTTGGGATTATAAATTATGGATCCAACTGCTCTACTATTTCAACGTAAAGGATCTCAATTCTCTATTGAGTTATTTTACATAGTTTATCGTTTGTCATGAAAGCCTGCTTTGCATTCACTTATACTATAAAATGTCATTATAAATGTGTCGTTTTACTATTATGTACCATGACCATGCTTTTGAAATAATTGCAATTTTCTCCTGCACTCTGGTATTTATTATAATTTGCACAACAAATGGAATACCCATTTATCTGTATTCCTTTCAACTCCTGTGAAGAGCTGATTATCTTAGCAACATGACCACTGTGTAATTGCTTCATGTTTTTCTCTTTCCTCAGATATTTGTTCAGTGATGCCAGGACAGTGAGCACCACAATGCGTGGCACGTGGTCAGGGGCCACGCCCTTCCTCCTAATGGTTCGCTGAGGCTGGTCAGGGCCACAAGAGGTCCTGTAGGCGCTCGAGGTAAAGACATTATCCGTGATTCTCTGAACTGGCATGTCTCCTCATCAGTGATGAAGACTCCATTGTCTTACTCCATCATCATCATCATCATCATCATCATCATCATCATCATCATGGTTTGTCAGTGTGTCTGTCAAGCTGTGTGATTGTCTGACTATTACATGCGTGACACCTTTACCTTGGCTTTAATGATTGTTTTTCATTTGGACACCAGAATTCATACCTTGATCTTGGCACACACCAGCCATATGTAGTCTATAACGGTATTTAACCAAAGACAACTCAACTGTCTCGGGAGCAGCAATTGTCTAGCTGCACTATTATACACTAACTAAAGTGAAACAACTTTCTGCTCCCTGATTGTCTGGAAGATACCATGCTGAGATCTGAGCTCCAGGCTATCCAGATAAGGATAGCAGCAATATAATGAATCGGGTACATTTGGGAAATGTGTTTCTAAGAAAGAATTGCATTAAATTCATTGGGGAAATCTACTGTAAATCTAAATGCACTGATATATATCTGTTTTTTTTCTATGTATACAGTAGGACTGCTTTCCAACTTTAAAAAACAAACAAACGGCAGATGTTCAGAAATATGTATGGTGTAAACTACAATACTAAAACGATGTCTTTCTTTCTATACTAAGCACGAGATCTTGGTTATAAATGCGAACGTGTTTAGTGCTGCAGATGTGGAAATAAACTATTTGAATGGTGCCTTCCTAACCTAAGTGTTTTGAATAGATGTGAAACTATTGACAGACTCAACGCCCCTGTCAAACCAGGCCCAACACACTCAGCCACCAGGGCTGATGATTTATTGAAGCAGTGCAAGTTGCAAGGTCACCAAGGAATTTCAGATTGTCCGCCTTCTCAAGTAAGAAATAACAAACCTTGTTTGAGAGTTAGAGGTAAAACTTCTCAGTAAACAGTCCGTGCTAAAACTCTATCTAATCTATCAGTACACCAATGATAGAAAATGGTAAAAATACAAAATGTTCTAAGTTGACCCCTAATCAAAGTATTTCTGTTGTCTCTTGGGTTGATGAAATTGAGGGACCAATTGTTGGTTTTCATGACTCTTATTAGATCACATGCAATGCATTATCCTCTGTCATCAATGTGAAGCAGGAAGTATCCACTTAACAGTTGAACTTTGACAGATAAAAATACTGTTTTTTCAAAATATCTTCATCTCCATTAATCTAAACTGTTCTGGGTCTGTTACTTTGTTCATTTATCCCTCAAACATCTCCTATATAGATCTTTGAAGAAATGTGTTTCAAGAAGTTTTGTTTCTCTCGTGTTGATAAAACGAGATTCACCTATCGGCACTTTTGTTGTCCCCACACTTGACAGTCATCTCTGTTACATAGAGTTGATGTCTGTCCTTTTCCACCCAGTTCTCATCAGACAGGACCACTATTCAGTCCTGCTGAGGAGCATTTCACACTTTTTCTTCATTATGTACTTAGTTTGGCTCCTTAGTTTCTTTCTATTGCCTTTCAACTCTCATTTTTTTTGATTTTGCTGTGTCCACGCCACCATCTTCTCTCTCCGTATTTTCTTTCGCCAACATGATCTAGGAAGCCATTTACTTGTCAAGCAGAGGGTAGTGTTTGTGACTCCCTGTACTCTGATTTAATGGTGTTAGAGTGTGTGTTTGTGAGCATGTGTGTGCAAAGGTGAAGGATCGCTCCCATGGCAAAAATGCTTTCAATCACACCTTTGGAGCAGGATTTCTGACTGGCAGCAGTTAGAGATGTGTTGGGCTTGAATTCAGCTCATTGTGAATTCTGCTAAAATAGAATCAGAGAGATATCAATTTAGTTCTTATCTTTATATTTTCTCACTTATATTCTGCTCTAGTTTTAGTTGTGAAAATATAAGGTGATACCCCAAATAATTGTATGTGCAGAATGAAGTATCTAGGTGTATTGTTGCTACTGTAGGAACAAAGATTTTAAAGATATCAAATAGATATTATTTCTTATGTAAGCCGCTTCCTGCCTCCATCATGGCGTGCAGATTTAGTGACAATTCAACCAAACCAAAGAGGGATGTCAGTCATGGATTGTTCATGTGTAGCACAGTAAATAAACTATCCTAAATATGCGGGAAAGTCGAATTCCGCAAGGACACTGTCTTCCTTTCATTGTCTCTCAATGAGAGAAAAACGTCAAGGCGTCACTTTGATGTATTACTTTGCATAATCTCTGACTGACAGCTCTTGAGATTTTCTTACAATGTGCAAAGCAATGACTCCATTCCCTTCTTTTTATCATTCTCATCCTCTGGGTTTTCTGAGGCTCTTTGTTAACCCTCTCAGGTTTGTGAGCATTGACACTGTCTCACTGTCTTACAACAGAATATCCGCCCAGTATTCTAGGAATTATGTTAATATTGGACAATTATGCACCTTTTAATTGACATGCAGGGCAAACATTTAATGGCAATGCAGGAAGTGGTATTTGCATCCCTCCAAAGCTCTGCAATACAGTGAGTGCTTTTTGAATAACCAAGACATTAACTTAAGCTTAAAAAAGCTTTTTAGTTGCATTAACCTAATTGTACCTTAACCATAGTGTATTTGCAATAATCTTCCCCAAACCTTAACCATGCTGTTTTTGACATGAATGCAGTGTATAACCTTTGCCATAAATCGTAATTGTACATTTTGCAGAGCCGTCCAGTATTTCTCTTTCTGATTATGGGGTCAGGGGAATCAATCAAAGACAGTCATTGATGTTTTGTGTAACCAAGCAACAATATGTGGCATTAAGATGCATGTACGCAAGTAAATATCCAGTGACATGATTATCTTTATCAAGCATAATTAATCGCACTAAAGTTTTTGTAATGTAAAGTAAACTTAAAATTGTATGATAAATACAATTCAATTTTCTTGTCACAACCTTCCAGAGTACATAACTACAATTTACAGATTATAAAGTGTCTCCCTGAGAACGATAGTTTGCCTGGCGATTGTTTTTCTCTGATGAAATATTATTATTTCCCATAGTGCTCTGGCAGCCTCAGTGCAAGTGTGCAGGTGTCTCATAGTTTACATTTTTGGGTGGGTACACCGCAAACAGCAATACAAAATGTGTTAAATATTCAGACATTTCTGCTTTGTATTTTCGTTGCAGTGTGTGGTTAAAAGTATTATTTAGCTTAAAGTTGTTTGTAGACCTCCAACATTTTGTCTCTTACAGCATATTATGTTGGAGGAGATGAAAAAGATGTATGGTTCTGTATGTTTCAAGATTTAATTTAGTGTACTCCTGATGGTTTTCATTGGTGACCTTGCCCTGAAATGTGATTGCCTAGACAACCACATTCCAAAACACAAAATATTGTATATATCTTCCACAGTGCAACTCAGACATATTACATTTTCTCATTCATGTTCAAAAAAACGTCACCTATTTTCCTGTAGCCATCCAATTTTACTTTCTGCCGATGAATTCGTTTTTAAAAACTTTTATTTTTTCAATGTATTTTCTCAACTTACGTGTTAACAGAGCTGTAATCAATGACAAACTATTCATCCTTCACACTGTGAATCATGTATCAGGTGGGAGAGCTGGGCCTTTTTTGTACTGTGGGTTTTACCTCTTCACTTTACGTTCAGTATTCAGCTTGCACACCACCCTGCGGGTGATTAAATATGTGGTTAATACAGCACCATGATAGTATTGAATTACACAAGAGCCATGCTGACCTTTTTAAATTACAGAACCAATTGTGCAAGACGGGAAAGGAAGTTTATAACAGGTGCTGCCAAGATGGAGCCCCGAGCAAAATGAATCTGCTGCGGCTGTCCTGCTGACGCTCTCCTTATTAGTGTTCTGCACTATAAGCACCCTATTTGACACTCGCGCCTCCCTTTCATTCTCTCACTTTGAGTCCTATTTGAGGGCAAATTCTTTGTCTCTCAATCTTGTGTATCATCAGCCATGTAAGCATTCTTGCAGACAAGCTAAAACAAACACACGTCCTCCCACAAACTAATTTGACATTTCATTTCACCGTTGATGAGACACGTATCACTCTTGACACACAGTGTTGCCTCACTCCATAAATCTTGATCACTGGCCTTCTTCACGGATGCATCATAGTCAGCATATTGGCTTTGCTCATATCTGAAGGTCGTTTCTGATGTCTGATCTAATTTGAAGCTAAAGCCAGAAAAATGGAGCAGTCTACTCTGGCGTCAGTCACATGAGTCCATGGAGTCACGGGCGTTCTTTGTAGGATGACTGTTCTCGTCTTCAATCCCCAATGAGAGAATTCAGAGCCTGACTGGCAGCGATACAACAATAATTGCTTGGCAAAGGGGAGACAAAAGCTTTTTACCAATGAAAAAGTCAAAATAAAATACCCGGACATTAAAAACAAAGTATACTTCTTCTCCTTGCCAACTTTCAAGAGTGATCCCGGATTGCTTTATACAGTACAACACTATTTATGTGAGGAATCCACATTTCACCACTGTGTTTTATTCTTCTCTCTCAAGGGAGATTGGGCCATTATTGAATAACGTAAAGGATTGAAGGCTTGGCATTTCATGTAATGGAATTCTTGTGACGGACTGTTTTTGAAAGAACGGTACGAGTTAGTGACACTCTCATTCCATTAAGACATATTAAAAAGCTTTGTCAAAAAAAAAGCTTAGACTAGGCCCTTTCTCTGCAAACTGTCCAAAAAGATTTCTCAAAGCAGACCAATCTTAGTCTTGTCATTTGAAATTGTACATGTGCTTATCCCTTTTGTCACTCCATGCATTATCTTTCTTTTCACTTTAACGGTTTATTGTACTGTGCATTCAATATTTTGTTGTTTGCTTGTGTAGTTTAATCATTTCAACATCATTAAGTATGACACATTGTATTATTTGTGTTCTGGGAGCAAAATGTTTGCTTTTGTGTATAACGGAATCATGACAAGCCGTGTTGACTCAATTGTTTACACTGGAACTAAAGTCATTATTGGGGAGTCCACGGACAAGGATTGAATCAAATGTCTGGAAATCTCTTGTGCTTCTTAGTGACTGAATGTGGACTTTGTCACACTAAATATTTGATACAGGACCAATCTCCCTCTTGGATGTATTTAGAGCACTGGATAAAGCATTGGAAACA